GATTTTTGTAATTGTCCTTAAATTTCTGCTACAACATCAAGCCCACAACGCACAGGACTACGTTCACTAATCAAACAGCTGGGTTCATCTATCATTTGGTTCAGGAACACAAGATTGATCTCGCCACTCACATCTATGATCAGATATACATTGTAGGCACTTGGGGAGACTAGCGTAGCTCTCTAATATTCTCGAGCCTCATCAGTGGCATATGCATGGCTGTGGGCATCCCTATCACATCAGGGAAGATGCCTGGAAAACCTAGCCTCCCTATCAAGCGCATTACACTGGAGGCTTAGGACAGAGCTAGGACAGAACACCGGAAACAGGAAGAAAATGAGCGTCGTAGGTTGCAGGCAGAACATGGTAGGCACCTGCAGATTTGGAGATGCCATAGGCTCTATCACCACAGGCTAACGTAGATACACAGCTGCTGAGGCAGATATTTGCCACCACCACAAGTTCTAGCCGAGATTTTCAGCACTTCTTGCAAGACTTCAGGGCCATGAGGACTGAGTTGCAAAGGATACAGAGTGACGTGCAATTTTTCCTAACTTACATAATAGATGCCAGGAACGAAGTGCACGCAATAAGAAGAGAGGTTGACACTATGAATGGTCGACTAAATATGTATGTAAGCCGAGTGGATGGTATTTAGTTGAGGGTGAATTAGATGTGAGATCATATACACAGCTTGGAGACTGAGGCTAGGGAGCAGAGTAATCTGATTAGAGCCATCCAGACAGAGCTGGCCCAACAATTTGAGATTATAAGACAGCTTCTGGGACAACCCTCTCCATCACCAGGCGATGGTACAGCGAGTCCCAATTTGTCACCGCAATTTCTATATTGATCAGGAAAGTCCTGTTTACCCAATTTTTGTACTTGTCCTTAAAATTCTGCCAGTCAAACTTATACCTTTCACCTTGAAGACATTGTAACACATAAGTTTGGGAGGACGTGGCATAATTTGAATTGTTGCATATTGTGTGCTTAATGAGTGAAAAAAATTGCATTTTATTCATTTTGCTATATTTCCTTTTCTTGTATGCTTGTGTGAAAGTCTTGCCAGCTATGATGTGATTATTGGACCAGTATAATTTAGAAACTGTGGATATGGTGCTGAATAGATTAACTGATATTTTTTGATGTAATACACGACACTCTTTATGCACACCACTCATGATATACATGTTGAGTTAGTGATTAGGGTTTTCAACACAAGGTAAGAGAAGAATGATAACCCTCTATTGAATTAAACCGTAAACCACCTTAAGATAATTATGAATTGGTTTGGGAGTCACCAGCACAAAGCTTGCTACAAGAGAGAAAGAGGTTTAAGTCATCTGATCAAACCTTTATAATTCAAGTGAATAAGCCTACAAGGGTTTAAAATTTGGTGTCCTAAGACCAACTAGTCTGGGAGTCATCGACCCAAAGCTCGCTACAGGAGTTATATAGAAAGTAAATGAAAAGATGACATAAAAAAATTTAGAAAATAAAGAAATAAAAGACACAATAGTATGGAAGAAGCTCTCGAGCATTTGGTTGATAAAACTACACCTTTGAGGCGAGACAAGTAACTTTGTTTAATCTTAAGTGTTGAAGTAATCAAATCTAGGAAAGCCTTCACTTGTTGACATGTGAACTTGTGATAGTGAGATCTATCCAAACTGAGAGATGATAAGGACTACAGTTACCTAAATTCCAAACTTTAAAACATAACTTCGAGATAATTGAGTGAAAAAAATAAGTTTTAGGGGGTTACATATCTCTCGAGCGAAGTAAGGACATATTTGACCACTCTGGGTAAGAACTAACCCAATCATGAACTTAATATGGTAGCATGAGTTTACATACACACATCGAGCATGCATTTAACAAGTAAAAGTTGATTCATTCTTGCACTATTGAAACTTCTTATGATGTCAATTACTTAATTCTAATCCTAAGACACGACAGGTTATTAGGCCATGTTTGTGTAGAGTTAAATCACATCTTGTTTGAGGACAAACAATAGTTCAAGTTTGAGAGTTTGATAAGTGCATTTTTATACATTTATTTAGTTCACAATCATGACTAAATTATGAGCAAAGTGTTTGAATTGTGGCTTAATTTCATTTGATTTGTGTATTGTAGGCTATATTGATGGACATGGTGGAATCCACGAGAAAATATTCGAAAAAGGGCTTAAACAAAGCAAAGCAAAAGTCTAGGGACCAAAGTGCAAATATCTAAAAGATGAACCGAAGGGGGAATCGGGAAATTGATTGAGCTAAGTACCAATCAGATGGCATAATAGAGTGATGGAATGACAAGAAACAAGAAATTAGGTCAAAATGAAAGAAAATAAAGTTTGAGGACTAAAAAGGGAAAAGTGGAAGTTTGTACTACTATGTGGTCGCATAGTAGTACTATCCATGCGGTTGCATGACCCAATGGTAGGGAATTCAGTGGCCTATTTTTGCTTAACTATGCAGTCGCATAAGTTAAAGCTATGCGGCCGCATAGCTCATTCTTGGGATAAAATATCTGGTTTCCTATTTTTGAGGAAATTCTTCTGAAACTTGTTCGGAACACAAGATAAAAACTTAGAGCCATCATATTTCAAAAAAAGAAAAAAAGAAAAAGAAAGAAAGAAAACGCACTAGGAGGCTAAAAACACATCTTGGAGCAAATTTGAAGAGACAACAACGAAGGATTTCACGAAGATCGACGGAATTTCATACGATAATCTGATTTGGTGATGTTATTTCTTCCAAATATCATATATTCTATAATTTTCTCCATGCTAGGATAGAAATCTATGTACTAGGGGATCCATGAACCTTGTGATGTGATATTTAATTCTTTATTTCATGATTTTGACATTAAAATATGTTTTGATTATTTTGAACGGTTTATATGTACTTATTTTCTCCACAATTATTATGCACGTAATTTGTGTAAGTTTGGTGATTTGTTCTTACGTTCGAGAGAAGTGGAATAGATTCGACATGGTATAAACCATCATAGAGTCTGATAGGGGATAGAGATATACGGCTACGCCCTACGTAAATCTTTAAGTGCTCACAAAATTATACGTATTCTTGTATATTTGCATCCGTCATAGAAATATAAGCTGGTAGTATATAAGAATAGGTTTAACGCTGCTCCAGAGAGGGTGTTGGATAGATTTAAGAGCATTGATTTTTCAAAATTCCATCGTGTTGTCGAATTGTGAGATTAGGGTTAAATTGAACATTGCTCGGGAATTCGTGATCCTAATACAATTACATTATTGAATACATATAATTTGCGTTCCAAATAGTAAATTTGCATTCTAGTTCATTAAAACATCGTTTTGCATATTTAATTCATTCAAATCATAAACAATTGAGTAAATTAGGGTTTTATTGAAATTAGGGTTCTCTTAGGTTAAAAATTCATTCTCAATAATATAGTTTCGGTTAAAGCTACGGTAAGTAAAATTGAACTACTCAATCTCTGTGAGACGATATTCGGAACTCTAGCTTCCATTTTATTATTTGTTGCAAAACGTACACTTGGGGAAACAAATTGAAATCATTATTTCGTGAACAAGTGTCGGTAATGAATGTGAATGGATGTGAGATGTTTCTAAAAGATTTCTATATTTCCAAAATTTCTTCTCTATTTTTATAATTTGAAATAGGAAATGAGATTCAATCCATTTAACTATACACAAGAATGAAATGATTTGATGTGTTTAGTGTGTTCATGAAAGTCAACATTCGAGACTAGTTGGATTGCACTGAGATGTTACTAGCATGAAGTGGTGTGAGAGACTACAGATTTACTCCAAGCTTAGAAATTATTATATGCAATTGCATTCTTTAGTCCATTCTTCGTCTTCACCACTCTCCTCACCCAAAAAAAAAAAAAAAAAAAAAAAAAAAACCAAAAAGTTTTTTTTGGAAAAAAAAATATTTTCCATAAAAAAAAGAAAAAAATTGCATATTCGGAACTCTAGCTTCCATTTTATTATTTGTTGCAAAACGTACACTTGGGGAAACAAATTGAAATCATTATTTCGTGAACAAGTGTCGGTAATGAATGTGAATGGATGTGAGATGTTTCTAAAAGATTTCTATATTTCCAAAATTTCTTCTCTATTTTTATAATTTGAAATAGGAAATGAGATTCAATCCATTTAACTATACACAAGAATGAAATGATTTGATGTGTTTAGTGTGTTCATGAAAGTCAACATTCGAGACTAGTTGGATTGCACTGAGATGTTACTAGCATGAAGTGGTGTGAGAGACTACAGATTTACTCCAAGCTTAGAAATTATTATATGCAATTGCATTCTTTAGTCCATTCTTCGTCTTCACCACTCTCCTCACCACAAAAAAAAAAAAAAAAAAAAAAAAAGCCACAAAGTCTTTTTTGGATAAAAAATAATTTTCCATATGAAAAATGAAAGAATTAGGAGGTACAATATCCTTGATGCGTACGTGTCAAATGAATGAATTCGGCGTCGATAACTATGGGTTCTGCAAGGGAATTATAGTTTCTAATTAAATGAGTAAGGGTGCATTTGTTTGTTAATATTTTTCATCCAAATTTTTACTTTTGTGCTGTTTGATTAACATTTTTCTGTGAAGATATTTTCTTACTTTTGATCGCGTGATCATATTTTTTTCAAACTCATGGAAAATATTTTCTTTAGATGGAGTAGAATTTTATTTTTAAGGAAATCCATTCTCTCTCTCATCTATCCATTCCTTATCATTACCCACCAATAAAAAATAGACAAGTATAATATTTTTTATATTAAAAACTAAATCAATCAAACACATTTAATTAATAATTTCTATACAAATGAGTTCTAATTCATTGAATTGCCTAAAATTTATTTTATTTTCATGCAAATTCCATGGTCCTTGCTCGTAATCCAACGCATCTTAAGAGTTTCTAATTAAACTTCAAACTTTTAAACCGTCATCAAATACTAATTAAGGTGCTATCAACTAAAAATGATTATCAGTGTGTAAACTCAATAAATTAGAACTCTCCGCAGCAATTTGGGAAACAGGAGATCGAGATGGCTATTTCGGTTACACTTACTGCCCCCTTAATTCTTTATCCTTCCTTCTCCTCCTCTTCTTCTTCACCTCCCCCAGTTTCAATTGTCTCCTGCTCTACTCCACTTTCCTCATATAAAAATATAGCCAAAAACACTCGTTTCAGCACTTCAGTGACTACCAAGAAAAGGAATCGCAGCTTCATTTGCAGGGCTGCAGAGTACAAATTCCCTGACCCAATTCCTGAATTTGCTGACGCTGTAAGTTTTCTTGGTTAAATTTTGCTTAGTTAATTGGATGAACGGGCGTTTTCTTGATTTGTTTGTTAATTAATATGAAGTTATGGGTGGTTCAGGAGACTGAAAAATTTAGGACCCATTTGGTTAAGAAGCTCTCCAAGAAAGACATATTTGGAGAATCTGTTGAAGAAGCCGTAGGAATCTGTACTGAGGTACTTCTGCTGTCCCTTTTTTTCTTTTCTTCCCTCTTTATTTATTATTATTATTATTATTTTTTGGTGGGGGTGGGTCTGCTTTTATCTTTGTTCATGTAGATTTTTATGCTGGAGTTTCTTATTATCACTTATAGGTGTTTGCCAGTGGGTGTTAAGATTATAAACAATAATGCCCAAATTATAAAAGGTATAGTTTTAGAATACAGTGCTAAATAATATCCCTATTGATATTGAATTTTATATACTTGTGTTTATAACGATTGGATTGGATATAAATATAACTGCTACTACGTCTTGTTCCCTATAAATATCAGTGACATTGTTTACACTATTGATTTAATTTCCTAGAGACAACAGCAGCAGCTTCAGAATTAAATAGTGAAATGCATTTGGTGAATTTCCAATTGCTGGAATCGGCTTCCTTTTTCTTGATTTTCTTGAAATTCAAGTTTGTTTCTTGCTCTGGCATTTGAAATACTATGATCCTTGTTTCCAAAAATTTATGGTTTTGGCCTTTGGGATTACTGAGTAATTGGATAAATATTATTATGGCTGCAGTGGCTTATACTTCGTCCAAATGTTCACCCCTTAGAAGATTACTATTTTGAGAATCATACTGGTTAACAGCAACCATCTTGTTGGTTCCATTCATAAATTGTTCAAGCATGTTTTAATGGGAAATAAGTGATTATTGAGATAAAAATCTGTAAAAACACTTCTTTGCCTATTTTCTACTTTCCATGGGGATTGGAAAATTTTGAAATGCCAAACTCAATACTCCTAATTTAGTAGTTATGTTTAAGAATTTGCAACTATATACTTCACATAATGACTATTGGCTAAAGAATATATAAATGAACACTGAACATTTTCTTGTTGCTACTTCGATACAATGTTTGCGGGTCACTAGTTTTGACACCACAGGACAGCAGACCGTCAAATGCCATACTACGCCTCTTTGCCGTCTTGAGAGACAATATTTACATGGCTTAGTATTGAGATGCATTTTTTACTCTTCATGTGACATGTGAAGGTTATACTTCCAAAAACATTGGGATACATTTTATCAAGAATTCCTTATTGTTTTTAGGTGTATAGGCGTCCATTAAAATTATTATTATTAATTTTTTTTTTGGCCATTCTTTACTCTATGGGGGTGTTAATGTAACTTTTTTATTGTTCGTACAAATGCTGAGTTTTCCTACTTCAAATAATATTTGAACAGATCTTCAGTGATTTCTTGCATACGGAGTACGGTGGCCCGGGAACACTCTTGGTCATTCCATTCATCGATATGGCCGATACGCTAAAAGAAAGAGGTTTGCCTGGAGGTCCTCAAGCTGCACGAGCAGCTGTAAAATGGGCTCAAAATCACGTCGACAAGGACTGGAAAGAATGGACTAGAAGCTAGTGTTTGTTCAGCGTCGAATGCTGAAGATATCACATTGCTAGTCTGGCTGGAGCTCTATAAACTCATCTAGCAGTCTGAGATCTTTGCGGAAGTAGCGAAAAATGTTCAGCACATTCTCTGGGAATCGGGGGCTCTATAAACTTATGCAGCAGTTTTCTGTCTTTGTTAAGTTGCATGGAAAGAGAGAATTGTATGGCAAAACTTTGTCACTTTCATATGAGAATGTTCGATTCTACGTTCAATCCATATGGTAGACAAGTTGGTTTATCATTCCATGGTTTTGTATAACATTATCAAAATCCCATGAGTTGAAAAACGCTAAACAAGACTCTCTATCGAATTACTGGAATAAAACGTGTTGCTAAATTTTTACTGTCCATTATTTCATGTGAGGAAAGGTCGAACAAAAGCAAAACACTTTTTTCGCACTAGTTGCAATCCATTGAACATAGATTCAGCTTTTCAATTTTTTGGATTCCTTGGAATTTAGTTTTCGTGTACCTGGGTGGTATCAAAAGACCTCTATGTCAAGATATCTTATCGATTTCTGTGGGAAAATGGATATCTCCAAAAATTCTTTTCCCCTTTCCTGGTCTATTAATAACCAAATGGATTTCACCAATGTATAAAATAAAAATTCCAATGTCTTTGGCTACTATAACCTTAAAAAATATGTAAAATGTGAACTTTAATACACTGTTTCCCTCTTGAAAACTCTTGTCGATAGGGTAGATGCATGAACAAAACTAAACGGCTCAAAATTGCAAATGTAATAACTAACGGAACTCCAAATTTATGTGGTAGATATACGCGCAGTAGTGAAATTAAATGTTACAAGAAAAATTGGGCAACAATAGACAGACGAACTAAGAGATTAAGAACAAGCAGAGATTCTTGACAGGACTCAAAAAAATCTTCTTAATCACACTCTTTATCGATCACCTCCTGAACTTGACCCTCTGCAATATCGGAGAGATCGAAATAAACTTCCACATTTTTGGTGACTAAGCGAGCATGTTTTGTTAAGCTTAAAAATAAGAGAAAAGTTATTCCTATTTCCAAAATGATTGGATAATTTACTTTTTTCTTACTTTGAAGTAAAACTAAATTACTTCTTTTAGCTTAGCCAAACATAATTGAATATTCAAAGTTGAGATTAAGGGAGAAACTATTACCAGCAAGAACTGCAGCTAAGTTTGCCTGAGCATCAGCCTCAGAGTTTAAGTCCTCCCAGAAGAGAAAATAAAAATGTCAGCATTTACAACTTAAAAGCCCAAGGAAAAACAACATTGCCATTTGCTTAACAAAATGAATCATGGAAAATTGCACCAACAAAATCCGAGATTATTTTTGGTGGATTGATCGGGACAGGCATGTAACAAGGTTGCATTGTTTGAACAAAATGTTAACAAAACTGAGCTTACCCTAAGTACATGAGAAATCTCGAATGAAAGAAACCTATCCTTTAATTTCTTTGCCTCCTCGTACAAATTGGAGATGTTTTCGTTTTTTACCTTCCATTGACCCTGAATCTGTTCATAAAATATCCCTCAGAACGTAAACTTCACAAAGGAAAACCGCAGAGAGATTCACTAAACAATAGCAGTAAAAGATTCCATCAATTGATAACACGAGTTATGTTTACCTAATATTATCACTAAATGAAATTAGAAACATATAGCGATTATTTTCTGTAGTTATTCTTCATTGAGAATATAAAAGACTGGATCATGTCATCAAAGCTAAACTTCAGTTATTGCCCAAAGTGACAGGAAATATGCAATATAAAGCCCAAAAAGACAGTAATAAAACTGCATTCACATACACCACGTACAAAAAGCATGCATATACCTGCTTACAAACAAGTTTTGAGTCACCCCGAACAAGAATACTTGTGTACCCTTTTCCAAGTGCATATTTCAACCCCAAAATCATGCCTCGATACTCAGCAACATTATTGGTTGCTATGCCTAAACCTTCACGCAACCTACATATCTAACAAGTAAAAAAGGTAGGAAATAGAAATAATGTATCAGACAAAAAAATAGGTAAAAACCCTCAAAGGACAGCAAAGTTTACCAAAGTTCCATCATCAGATCGTAGTATAGCTCCTGCTCCAGCTTGTCCAGGATTTCCTTTTGATGAACCATCAAAGTCAAGAGTACAAAACCGCTGTAATTATTACATGGATCAGACTTTTACAAATCAAGTTGTTAAAACATCTCTTTCAATTCTTACAGTATTACTGACACAGCGTGAAATAAGGAATTCAAACGAAAATCTTAAGAACTTGAAATTTGAAATCCACCAAATTATGAATGATTAAACTCACAAAATTTTATTAATGAAAAATGATCAAAACAACCCAAATCTATTACGGTAAGATACTTTTATGAACTCGAATGGACGAATCCTACATGAACATGAATGGCCAAATCCATCGTATTACTCGTTTCATCGTTCTCCTTTTGGAATGGTATTATGCGTCCAAATCAAAATTCGAATGTTCTCTCTCCACTATTACTTTTTTTCCATTTTGATCCAATTCTCATTCTATCCATTCAACAATGTGTTCTACATCAATGACTAATAGAATATGATAAGAATTTGGTTTTCACCATTAAGTTGCATTTGAGAATTTATAGCAAAAATCAGCTCTTAAATATAGAGGCTCTTACTCATCAGAACAATACATGCACAAAAGCACTTATCTCGAAGATTACTGATTAGAACCAACCAGGGATCACTCGCTCAGGATGGTTGAGTGTGGTGAAAGTCTACATTGATTAAACTTGATGTACTTTATTAGGGTTAATTTAGCCCCTATTTGAGCCCCATTCTTTTAAAAAAAATACATTCTTAAACAGTGTTATAACATCATTTCAAACACAAAATCTTCAAGAAAATAATATTACACGCAAATCTAAAACTTTTCGATATTTTTAACCGCACATTTCTTATCAATACAATATTCAAAAATTAAATTTTCCCCAAAAATGGGTAGTATTTTCCTACTTCTATTAAGACTAGTTTAAACACTATATAAAAGAGACTTATGCATTGTAATAGATACAACTTTGATAATGAAATAAATTTGTACTTTCTCCCCCAATTTCTCTCTATTCTCTCCCTCTCCTTCGCTTTCTTCTCCTCAATCTTGTTCTTATTCGTAGTGATGGCAACGGGGCGGGGCGGGGCGGTTTTCTTGCCCCGTTTAATTTTTTTTTTTTTTTTTTTTATTTATTCCGAGTTCAATAAAATACGGATAACATTCAAATTGAACTTTTAATAAAGAATACCCTTATTTTATGAAAATTTAAGTTTTTGTTTTGGGATAAAATTATTTATAGTGTAAAATGATTTTTAGAGAATGTGTGGATAAAAAGTATGAAAAGATTATAGGTTTACATGTAAATTATGTTATTAAAAAAATTGTGATAGAAAATAAGTTTAAATAAAAACGATTTTGAAATATGTTGCATGGATGAACTCTAAATATGTTATAATAGTTATAATTAAGTATGTAAACAAATAATTAACAAACAATTAGCTAATTAGTAACAAAGTTATGAAAAATTAAGGGTTGGATGAACAAATAATTAGAAATTTTCTATCTTCATATTTTCAAGTATTAAAAAAAAAAAAAAAAAAAAAATTCACAGGGCAAGTTCGGGCCCCCCCCGGGCGCCCCGCGACGGGGCGACCATCTATGCCCCGCCCAGTGCCCCGCGACGGGGCGGGTGTTTTTGCCCCATTCGGGGCGGGGCGACGTGGGGTCGGGGCGGGGCGACGTAAATTGCCATCACTACTTATTCGTTGTATCCCGCATCAATTTGGTATCAGATCAAGTCATTTTCCTTTAATCGAACAGTTTTGTAAAGTTTTGATAGGTGTTCCAGTTCAAAAGTTTATATCAATTATCAACACCACCAAATCCTTAGCCTTCGACTCTACCATCCTCTAAATCCATAACCACCCTTAACCGATTGTTTTCCCCTTTCCAACACCAAAAATTTCCAAAATAGACAAAATTCAAACACAAGAAAAGTAAAGGGGATCAACTAGGAAAAACTATTAAAAAATTAAAGTTACTATTCATGAGGGCACGTGATCTATTTTATTCCTACTGATTGCAAAAGGCTCTCATGAGAATTCAATTCAATCAACTTGAAGATAATGATTTGGATTTTTTAGCTCTTCTGAGTCTCGTGATGTAACAATTTCTTTTATGTTGAAAAACGTACTTCTATTTTCGTGTTAGAGCTGGTCGTCTTTAAAAAAATAAAACAAAAAAATATATCATATAAAATATGAACTCATATAAAAACTCTTATAACAATACCATACCCATACTTTGTTGCCACAATAGTGTATTACCCTTACAATACAATTATTCCCAACCTAAAGACTATATTAAAGACATTCATTACCCTTCTAGAATAGCTAACTTATAACTGTGAGACTTTGATGGTCTGAGTGGTCTCCAGTCATTTCTAGATTGACTCAATAATTTAGAATTTTACTTTTACAAATTGACTTCCTTCATATTTGTCATGTTAATACGTCACTTGTCAGATCTGGTCGATTTTATTAAAAAATATTTTCATATGACATTGATCGTCTAGGTCAACATCTTGTCTCTTTGTAGGATAAGATGAATAAGTGCACCTCTGTGTATTATCAATCTCAGATGCTGAACCAATTCTTTTTGCCCTGTAGGTAAGGTATATCCACTATTAGCAAATAACCCATTTTGAAGAGGTATTCTGTAGTCTTGATATTTATAAAGCTCTCCACATTATAATATACAGGTTTCTTAATAGTTTGAATTCTAAAATCATGCATCACGACATTCATACTTTCTAATCTTTAAACGGAGCTTACCAACAAGCTAACCTATGGGCCATATCCTTCCGTCTTCACTAAGCATGTCATACACTAGGTCTCCCACCGTAATCCAGAGAGTCTCTTCCCGAGCCTGGTTGTGTTATTCATCATGAGGAAGAAAATAATGTCTTTATTATTAAGCCTATTGAATATTTAAATAGCGATGATGAGAGTTTCAACACAATAGATTATGACATGTTTGAGGATTTACCTATAGGATTACTACCTAAACAAAACATTCCACCTATTCTTGATCTCGTACTAAAATTGATATCACCAACTCCTTTGAGTGACTTTCCCATTGACTTTGTTTTGTGTTACCTTAACTGAGTAATACTCTCCAGCTCACCTCATTTTTAACCAAGGAAATTGTTTGATAGCATTGTTTTCCTATCGATAGTTGATTATTGTCTACTAGATACATTATATTGCTTTACCTCTATACTTTGATGATTTTCATGCTGAGATTAAAAGACAAATTCTTCTTGGTTATGAAACTTATGAGCATGCTTTTGACGCACAGTTTAAGCACTAATGCTTTCTTAATGATATTTATGTTTTGTCACGTGTTTTTCTGGCACATTTTCGTAACATTAAAAGAAAAAAATTGGATCACTTACTTGAACTTAATCTATTTGAATGGTCATCGCATATAAATGAAGATGTTTTTTCATTATATAGTATAAACGTCTCCTTATCGAGATCTTTTTGAGTCGTTGTTGCAATCATTTATTTCTGAAGGCCAATATGCTGTACTACTACATTGCGTTCCTCGTGTGAATTATGTGATAGTTTTTTTGAATGGGTTGCATATGTCGTTGCGTATTGAAGTTCTTTGTCCATACTTGGTTAGAAGGAAATATCATCAACTGTAGTCAGATCAAATACTTGGGAATAATTTTTAGATTTAATTGTCAACTTATGATTGGTTTAGTTACTTGATCAAAAAACCTCCTTGATTATGAAGTTACAATCTGTGTCATCGAATTTAAATTCTCTCAGTGGGAATAAATTATTGGAATCTTAGTCGAGATAGTATTTAGTCCATGTTTGATAGTGATTTTATCTAAATTTATTTTAAGTCAAAGTCAATAATCAATTTCAACCACATAAATCTTCTTCCCCCAATATCCCCCCCTCCCCCAGTCTTCTTCTCTTCTTCTTATCTCTTCTCCACAATCTTGTTTTTGATGGTTGTATCCCACGCCAGTCCTTTTAGGTAAGGTTGCAGCATACATTGTGTGAACAGACAAATCATATACTCACCCTACCCAACTTTCACGTCTAAAGGTATCTGATACCAACACAATCAAACCTCTAGTTCAAGCTGAAAAGGTCTCCAAAATGTTCATTTTTATTATGTATTTTCTGATATATGTCTTGAGGAAGAAGATTCAATCTTAAGTCTCAACGCACATCATGATACTATATACTTCATCAATTCATTCTGAAGTATAGTTTGAAATGCATGTTCAGTTTCCAGCAAATATATGCAGTACAAAAATTCAACACAGAGAATGGATCACAGAACTAGGTAATAACATTGACTTACGCCATAATCAGACTGCTGAGCTTCCTGTAACCTCTGTTTTGTTGTTGGATCGCTCAATGTTACACCTCTAGACGAACAAGGTTGCTGTAAAAAAAAGAGTCACTTATAGATCGTGAAATACTAATTTTAATAAAGACCTTATTTGACCCCATTTTATATATATATATATATATAAAGGGGGGAGAGAGAGAGAATTTTGAAATAGTGTATTGATGAAAAATGTGTTGTTAAAAATAAGGAGAAGTTTTGGATTTATGTGTAATATTATTTTATTAAAAAATGTGCAGTTGAAATGTGGTTCACTATTCAAGAATATATTTTTTTTCAAAAAAAGGGGCTCAAACAAGGGCAAAAATTAACTTGAAACTGCACTACACCAGATTGTTTTTCATTTTTGCTTTTGCTGAACACAAACAAGATTGTCTGAGTTTGTCGCGATAAATAATGTCTTATCCTACAATGTACTTTGTCGAGACTTTAACTAGCGTATTGAGTTTGTCACTTCAACAATTACAGCACTTCACTTAAGCTAATCCCAGTATTAAGTAGAGCATATCCCTTTTAAACATGACCCAGTAATATAATTAAGAGATCCAACTAATAATACAAATTACTTCTGGAAACTGAGGGCAATTGAGACAGGAAGAAATTTATTGTTCTGGAATCTAGATTATTGTGGATTTCCATTGACAATTTTTTGGCAACATAACTAGAAGCACAAATGTAGGATTGCTAAAGATACCAGAACAGCATAAACCTAGGTGTTATGATTACCTTCATAAAAGATCCAAGAGGGTCAATTGGAGCTGAAATTATTTTTGATATATTTTCAACAGATAGGACAGCTAAATTTTCCCAAAAAGAAAAAAAAATGCATTACGAGAAGGAAACCAAAAATGTGATAATTATCTGACCTGAAAAGGGCACGGTACAAGAGTGCCGAAAAGTTCCTTAGTTAGATCAGACGCTCTGATGGAATAAAGAGCATTCTTAAGCCCACAAGTCATAAGATATTTCTCGGTGTCCTTGGGCATGGAGTAACCTTTATACACGCTGACAGGAGGATCAAGAATCTGCAAGAATAAGGAAAAAGGAAAATAATTTGATTAATGCATAGCAACCATTTAGTGAGAAAAAGCATATGGTTTTCATGGAGAAATTTTTGGTAAAACGAAAAGTAGTGTCATACATCAAAGTAACATCATAAAGACTGCAATTCCAAATCTACCAATAGATAGATCATGACCACACAGTTAAGGAAAAATGCAAATGGTGAGAAATTTTTTAAATGATACAACATTTTAAATAGGTCAATAATAGCAGTTCTAACCCAGCCCCAATCCCCCACCATACTAAAAAAATAAAATAAACAAAGAGTCAACTGATGCATTAACCAGAGGAAGAAACCTTCACTTCACTGTAATAGAGAATCTGAATCTTACAACTGAAAATTAACAAGAAATGTCCAGTCGAAGGACATACTGAAGAAGAACAAAAACAGAAAAAATATCAACTCATTTCCCCTGGGATTAGTTCATGCACTGTAAAAATATAAAAGGCAAAGTGGGGGAAAGAACACGTCATAAAATTTTGGGGCTCTTTCTGAGTCCTTTAATCTGAACTACTAATTTGCAGAAAATTGGCAGTCAATACTTTCAGTGATAAAATTGGATTAGACTATGAAATACAAACGAAATATTAATCTAAAATCACTCAACACTGATCTCCCTCAAACCTTTTAGTGAAAGTGATTGATTTGTCAAAATTTCCTGAAAGTTGGAACAATATTTGAATTTTGTCAAATAATATTCATATATGGAAAATTTTCACTTAGGATGTAAGATGAGCTTCACTTTGATGAAGAGAACAACCACTTTGAACTCAAGCCATAAGAAGCCTTGGAAGGCAGAGATTAGTAAAGGATCCCCAAATTTATGCATCCATTCCCTGCACCTGTTCCCAACAATATGCATACCAGAGGACCACTTGAACACTTACCAAAATAATAATAATAATAATAATTGGAACATATTTGGCTATAAACAATAGTTTCAACAATAATGAGCTCACTTAACTTCCATAAACCCAAAAGTAGATCATTTATGTAGGACAAAAAAGACAAAAACAGAAATCATGTATCAAAATTAGAGAATGGTGATTACCGAGGATCCAACTTGAGCCTGACAATCACTTAAGCTCTTGTAAAGACCCACCAGATCGCCTTTCCGAACAACAAAGAATGCTTCCTTGTCATCCTTCAGTAACGGTTTAGGATCAGGATTTCCCTTACTAGAACTACGACTACCTCTACCAGACCTTTTGGTTGAGTAGCACTGAACTGGAAACCTTGTAGACGAAAATACCACATTTGATGTTCGAATACCGGCATATTGAAATCTTGCTCTCCATGAAGGAGGATGCAATCCACAAATTGGACTCTTCGCGACAAGTTTTCCTGTCCTTGATAATATTGCTGAAGAACACGTGTGTAACAAAATGTTCATTCCAGAGTCCTCTCCCTCCAATTCCCTAGATTTTCCGATTTAAAATGTTATTATTTATTCATAACTACAGAAAGAACAAGAAAATAATAGTTTTATAGAACTGCACTACTATCTGGTCCATATTCCATTGTCATTTCAAATGGTTGAATGCTCTAACTAGTCCAGGAAATAAATAAAAATGATCAAACTAAGGTAAATAAAAAAAAAAATGATACTTAAACTTTGTTTAACCAGCATTATTGATTATCTAACTTTTATCCCTTTTTACCACATCAAATATCAGAAAAAGGAGTAGACAAACAAAAATAAGCACAAGGGCTTCACTTGATAGCTTGATTAATTCAAATTCTTAAATTTAAACTCAAAATTTTGAAACTTTATCAATTACATTTACATGAAGTTTAAATTTCTTTTTTCCAAGATTTTATTAGCCAAAAAGGGGACCTGCAGCGGATAACTTAATTGCATTTCTATTGTATTTTGAGCTCAGCCAAACATCCTCTAAAACCTCCCATGAAGTCAATTGGAAAATATGAGAAACATCTATTGAACCCGGAAATATAAAAATAAAAACGAATTTAAAGCGTAATTAATGAAATTAGAACCCAAATAATTTATAACCTCTACAATGAGAGAGAACATACCGTTTGAATATTTGACGAAACTATTGCAAATTGAATATCTCTTTGTGTTAGTGTAGCCTGTAAGCGTGTTTGTGTTTGTGTTTGTGTTTGTTTGTGTTTGTGTTTGTGTTTGTGTTTGCAAGAGAGAGGGGTTACATACTGCCAGTGTTTGGGGGGGAGAAGTAGAAGGGTTTTTGATTGGATTCAAACGTCGAGTTTATGCCTTACACCTTAAAATACTTCTAAATCATTGAATTTTAACACATTGCCATATTTGATTAATGAGTAATGCTATTTAATCTACTCGAATTGAACTTTTAAAATGCTTTTAAAGGGATGTATTCAATTGAAATTTTTAAAAACTTTAATAGACTTTTTTAAAATAATGACTTCTATGAATTTTGTGAATCTTTCATATATTTGTATAAAATTGGTGAAAGTATTTCGCAAATTTTTATGAGCTTTCATTTTAAATTTTTTATAAATTTTTGTAGAATTCAAAAGATTTTTTGAAGACTTTCATTTGATGTAAAATTCATGTGGATCTAATGCAATAATGTAAAATTCTCACATACGAAACCGTAGTTTCCACAATTTTCCTTCCCCTTCCCCTCCCGTCCTCTTATTATATATATGATAAAAAAAAAAAAACTTAATATTAAATATTATTAATACAATATACTTTTAAAAATTAAAAAAGAAATCAATATAATCTAATTATAAGTTTGTCATATAAAATTTTATAATCTAATAACAAATAGATATTTTCACACAAAAAATAAAGAAAAAAAATATAAGAATCCAATTTATTTTTTCTCATAGAAAATAGAGATGAATAAAGAGAGAAAGATAAATGAAAACAAATATAATCATTAGAAAGAAAATTTAAAAAAACCAATTATTAATATATATACCTTTAAAATCGGGATGGCAATAAAACCCGCTCCGTCCCGTCCCGATCGGACCCCACCCCCCAAATGGGGTTGACAGGGCGGGTGGGGATGCCCCGCCCCGTGAAGGGGAAAAAAGATTAAAAATAATTTTATTTCTAAGAAATTCACCCGTAAAAAACTAATTTTGAATTTTTATTTTATTCTCTAATAATAATATAATTCAAAACTTTAAAAAAAAAAGAAAAGAAAAAAGGGACAACAAACGAGGCAAAAAGTTGCCCCGTCCCTGCCCCGCCCTACCGCACCCCGTCTAAGGTGGAGCAGGGCGGAGCGGGTTTGGGAGAAACGGGGCGGCGTGAGCGTCCGGTCCCGTTGCCATCACTACTTTAAAAAAAAAAATCAATGTATTTAAAGTTAATTATAAGTTTGTCATATAAAAATTTAATTTTTATAAGTAAAAGTCTCTGGAGACTTAATTATAAGCAGGATGTCACTACTACATAAAAAGGGCAATGTCTCACTATTGTAGAAAAAACAGTAGATTCTTCCATTTTGTCTCATTGTAACTTTTTTTTTTTATTGAGAGAAAGCAACGACGTCGTTTATCTTACATGTTTGATACAATTACTTTGTTGCTTTTTCTCAATTTATGCGGCGTGGAGGATTATGTCATAGAGCCATCTTTACTCTTTCTCCATTTTTACACGCTACAGTCATGCCTCTCTATTTCTCCATACTAATTCAAGAGCGAAAGTGTGAATTCCATAAATATATAATTGAAAATATGTTTGAAAAAAAATAAATTTTAAAAAAATGAAGGTCAAACATGTTAACAAATGACTATATTTATTTTTCGAAAAATAAGTTTTTATTATCATTTCATTTTTATCGTGAAATGATTCTAATCTTAATATATTAGATTGTGCTTCAAAATTACATAATTTATCAAATATAATTTTTAAAATTAATTTTTATAAAGTAATATGTTTTTATGAATTTTTCTTTTTTTTTTAGTAAATTAATGTTGTGGAGGTTCAAGCATGAGACTCCGTAATAACGTATGCCTCAACATGAAACCTCCAGAATTACGGAGGCTCATGCTTGAGCCTCCATAATTCTGGAGGCCAACAATTTAAAAAAAATATATATATATATATAATTTTATAATTTTTTATTTTTTTAAAATTTTTTTAAAAAAAATTAATTTTATAATATTATAATAATATAATAATAATTATAATAATATTATTATAATATTAATTATATTATTATATATATTAATAATATAATATTATTATTTATTGGCCTCCAGAATTACATGTTGGCCTTCAGAATTCTGAAGCCTCATGAAATTTTAATATTAAAATTATTAAAATTTTTAATTATATTATTATTATTATTATATCTAATAATAATTATTATATACAAGGAGGCTCAAGCATGAGCCTCCGTGTATGATGCCTCCATAATTGTTTTATAATATAAAATTAATAAAAATTTAATTATTTTTTATTTTTTAGTACTATTATATTTCACTTTCCGAAAAAAAAATCATAAAAACATATTATCTTATAAAAATTAATTTTAAAAATTATATTTGATAGATTATGTAATTTTGAAACACAATCTAACATATTAAGATTAGAATCATTTCGTGATAAAAATGAAATGCTAATAAAAACTCATTTCTCGAAAAATAAATATATTCATTTGTTAACATATTTGGTCTTCATTTTTTAAAATTTATTTTTCTTCAAATATATTTTCAGTCATATATTTATGGAATTCATAATTTTGCATTTGAATTAACCCCCTCAATAAATTATTATTTAAACGATTCGTAAATATTTTGATTGATATTATTTTTTGGTCATCCAAATGACTATTATATACCTTTTACGTTCATATATATAAAAATAATATTTTTATTTAAACTTACTTATGTTTTCAAAAATAAACTTTTTAAAGATACATGATTGATAGCGTGAGAAAATGGTGAAAGAGATAGTGTGGAGAAATAGAGAAGTATGATTGTAACATGTAAAAATGAAAAAAGAGTAAGCCTCCATTATTTTATGTATTTTTATTTTAAGAATATTAAAAAAATTAAGTTGATTAAATGAAATTAAATTATTTTATTGAGAGCCAATGAAGAAAACAGAAAGTAAAAAAATGGACGTTGAGGCCTCCGTAATTACGGAGGCTTTATCTCTATGAAGCCTCCATAATACAGAGGCTTTATGGAGGTTGCTCCATAATATGGAGGCCTTGCATTCGTAATATTTTTTTTATTTTTTTAATATATACTAAAATTATTATTTTTAAATGTTGTTAGCATGATGCATGTGTGGAAAAATATTTGTCAATTACCATAAACAAAATTTTTCACAAAATACAAAAAATAAAAATGCATAATAAATCTTCTTATTACGCTAATAAAATTACAATAATTTTCTTTTTACAAATAACATAAAAAATTATTTTTATTTTCAACAAAAAAATACATTTAAAAATTAGCAATTTCATAATCATTTTTTTTTTAATTTTTGAAAATACAATTATAAAATAAAAAATAATTATATTTTTATTAATTTTATAATATAATATGTTACTTGAGCCTCCATAATTATGAAGGCATCAGTCATTTTGAAGGCTCAAAACATGAGCATCCGTTTACTTACAAAAAAAAAAAAAATCATAAAAACATATTAATTTATAAAAATTAATTTTAAAAATTATATTTAATAGATTATGTAATTTTGAAGCACAATCTAACATATTAAGATTAGAATCACTTCATGATAAAAATGAAATGATAATAAAAACTCATTTTTCGAAAAATAAATATATTCATTTGTTAATAGATAAAAACATTATTTTTATATATGTACGTAAAAGGTATATAGTAACCATTTGGATGACCAAAAAATAATATCAATCAAAATGTTTACGAACCGTTTAAATAATAATTAATTGAAGGGGTTAATTTAAGAGCAAAAATGTGAATTCCATAAATATATGTTAAAAAAAATTCACTTAAAGTTATTTAAAAGAAAAAAAAATAAAATTATAAAAATTACTTGTAACTTAACAATATATTAACTTAAATATTTGAAGTAAATATTTAGATATATTTAATTTTTAAAATTAAATATTAACTTATATGTTAAATAGATGATCTATAAATAAAAAATCATTTAAAAAAAAATATCAAATGAATCTCTCCATATTTATTATGAAAACTTGATCTCTCCATGAGATCAAGCCTCCGTATTACGGAGGAATCAAGCCTCTTGTTATGGAGAGATTGAGACTTCCAAGCATGAATAATAAATTTTTTCTTTGAATTTGTTTATTAGTAATATTTTTATTTGTTGATATTTTTTCCTATCACTATTTTTTTTCCAACAATCAATTTTATATAAGAAATTATTAACAAATAAAAATACAGACAAAAAATATTTGTAAAATGTAAGAAGTTACTTATAAGTAAAAAATCTACAATTTTGACGCTAATAAAAATACAATAAATACAAAACTCGTGCAACGCACGTGTCCAAGACTAGTACCTATTAAAATCTCAAAAATCGTCTCTCTTTAGTAATGAGAACTTGGGAGATTTTTTTCCCATTATTTCTCTTTTCTTTTTCCTGTTTCCTTTTATAATAAACATTAGAGGCGTGATTAAAATTTATTTTTTCTGTTAATTATATTTGTTTCTATTTATCTTTTTCTCTTTGTTTATCTCTATTTTCTATGAAAAAATTAGATTGGATTCTTATAACATTTTTTCCTTTTTTTATTCATCTTTTGTGAAAATATCTATTTATTATTTCATTATAAAATTTTATATGACAAACTTAGAATTAAACTTGGAATACATTGATATATATATATATATATATATATTTCTTTAATTAATATCTTAAATATTTATTTTCTTTAAAATAATTTTTTATTATATGCGGAGGGAAAGTGGAAGGGAAATTATGGAAACTACCACCTCATATGTGAAAATTTCATATTACTGAACTAGATTCATGTGAATTCTACTTCAAATGAAAACCTTCAAAAAGTCTTTTGAATTTCACAAAAGTCTATAAAAGTTTTAAAATGAATGTCAGTAAAAGTCTACAAAATATTTCCACTAATTCTATACACATTTATGGAAGATTCACGAAATTCACAGAAGTCATTACTTAAAAAAAAGTTTATCAAAATTTTCAAAAGTCTCAATTGAATACACTCCCTTAAAATTTAAAATGTAGAATTCATCGCTCATTCGCTGTGTTTCATTAGTCATTGAACTTATATTTTCGTCACGTTTTACTCACGAAATTTTAAAATACTTTCAAGTAGTGACTAAACTTTATTCATTAAATCCAATTGTTCAAAAATTGAAAATTTTGAAGTATAAAATACCATATACGAAAACAACATCATGATGTTATCTCGAATTGCTTTGTGACAATTCTGATCGAAAATTTCATTGTTGTTTGAGATATAATTTTTTTTCACTTGATTTGGGTCTATGATCTCAATCGAAATAAAGAAATAATTTATCTATTTTTATTTTTTCGATGTAAAGAAAAATTATAAATTAAATTATAATTTATGTCAATTTGAAGCTAGAGATTTTTTTTCCATCACTTTTAATGACTGGTGAATCTTATTGATTGATATTAAAATTCTCATCTTAGATGGGGAGTCTCATTATCGATTAGATACCTATTTTATTTTATTTTATTTTATCTAGATCAAATCTCATAGAATTGTGTAGTTCACTGACTTCAAAAATATTTTAAAGTTCCATGAGTAAAGCGTGACGAAAGTATAAGTTAAACCCCCATTTGTCCCCCGCCCCGCCCCAAATTATTTAAAACAATAATTTTTGGAATATTATTTTTTTGAAGAATGTGTATTTTAAAAAGAATGGAAATTTTTCAGTTTACATATAATATTATTTTATGAAAGATTGTGTAATTAAAAATAAGAGAGAGAAGAATAAATTTTTGGAGTAACAGGGGCCAAACGAGAGCTAAGCAACTAATGAAACATGGTTGATGAACGATGAAGCGTAACGTATTAAAATTTAATAACCATTAAAAAGTATTTTAAAGTTCAATGACTTGCGAACATAATGAAAGACAGAATACAACGCGTTAAAATTTAATGACCATTCGAAGGAATTTTAAAATTCAGTGAGAAAAGTAACGAAGATATAAGTTCAATAACTAATTAAACATTTAACTCAGCCCCTGTTTGATTCTCATTATTTTAAAACTCTTTTTTTTTTAACAAGATCATTTTTAACTACACATTTACACAATAAAATATTCTGCACATAAATACAAAACTTTTCTTTATTTTTTAACCACACATTCTCCCAAAAAATAATATTCAAATCTCTTTAAAATTGAAATAATGACCACCAAATAGGAGCTTAGTCTAGAATTAAACTATTTTGCCCGAATTTTTTTGACATAATGTTGACATCCTCTCAGATGCGCGTGGGTCCCGCGTGAGTAAAAAATCCAAAAAAAAAAAAAAAAGTAGGCCTCTCCCATTATGAGTGTCAATTAGTTATTATGTCAAAAAAATATATTTCATTTTTTTTTTTTTCCTTTTTCTCTTTTGCTGTGAGTAATTCATTTCATTATATGACATGGAAGAAAGAAAAGGAAATTGACCAAGTTGACTTACTACATTTACCATCCCAAGTAGGTCGAATATCGCATCATTATCATCACCGGTCATTTCGCTCGAAAACAGTGTTTGTTATGAACAAGTTCCGTTGTGCATTAAGGTCACTTTAACTTTGTTGGTTGTAAACAAAGTTACAAGTAAATTTGATACGAGCAAAAGAATTACAAAGTTCCCATGAAAAGACTTGAAACCTAAAAATAGTTCAAAAATTCTTATCATGTACTGATTTTCCCGACAACGATTCCAACTACATATTTGCACAAATAATAATGAACCCTCAAAATAAGTAATTCCTCATCAGCTCTGTTCTTTAACAGCCATATTTGCTTTTGTTCCATATTTGGAGAACACATCTGTAAGCACTGATTTCTCTCTGATCTTTAACCTGTTCATCATAAGCAGATATTTTTAACAAAAATGAGTTCAAAAAGTAACATAGTAATTTTATATGGAAGAAGAATTCATATCGCAATGTTTTCGAAGTCTAGACTCCCAAGATTATATCATTACCTATTAGCAGATCCTAGAGTGTTTATCTTTGGAATCTTGTGTTTGCTTCCTTTAGATGCTACCTTTTTATCTTTCACCTTGAATTTTCTTCCCTTCTTTGAGGAGGATGGACTTGTTCCAGATTCTGAGGTACTCAAATTATCAAGATTTTCTGTGTTCTCCTCCCATTGTGCAGATATGTACCTTTCGTCCGCATCATAATCACTAGAGAAACTTTCTTCCGATGAAGCTAGCAAATTATCAGCCACATCTATATCAGAATCCGAAGCTTCATCCAGACTGATTGCTGCTTGCCCAGGAGCGCAATCAGTCTCATCATCGGATTGTTTATTAGCAAGATTGGCCAAGTTGGAGTTCATCACGTTACATTTAATCTGCTTCTGAATCTTACCGAAGCTTATACTTTGTCCCGAGAAATTCTGAACAAACCTAACATGACAAAAAAGTCCAGATGAAACATAAAATGAAAATTCGTGCAACTTATAACGAGCACCGACCATCTAACAAAATGCAACTAGAAGGAAAACGGAGATAAAGTTTCAGGCAAAACGTTACAAAAATAATACCTAACTTTTCATCCAAAATTTGAATTTTTTTAATTAATGCTATTCATTATTAGTTAGCGGGCCCTCATGATGATCACAACTACCAATGATGAATAGCTTTATTCTAAACTTTTTAAATAATTTTTATAATCATCGCTAGTCTTGGTGACAATGGAGCATTAGTGATTATCACAACTAATGATGAATAACATTGCTATAATGATAATCTCACCCATTACCCGATTAGCAAGTTGGTCCCTAACCCTTAAAAATGAGCAAAATCTAGCTCCATAGAATTGGACATGTGAGGGTCACGCCTTGATATATGAATTTGTTTGTTTCTGTCATTGTGGACAGATAGTACAACTATTATAAAAGGTTGGGACCAACTTGCTACTCATGCAAATAAGTTGGGGACTAATACTATAATTGTAGATCGACATGGCTTTTCTATCTTGTATCATTCTCGTTCCTTTGTTTACTTGATATGGAATGTATTATCAAATTCTAAGCTTCATGTATTAAACAACTCCCCAGCCAATCACTTGCCTCGCATTACCAAAATAAAACAAAAAGGATAAACACAAGAAAAAGTCAACAATATCATTTAAATACAGTACATATACCTTTGTGCCTCATTCTTGGACTCAAAATATATGAAAGCAACGCCTTTGCAGATAGGATCCCTGGTCTTTTTGTTCCCAGTAACACTCGGGATTATATTTAATACTCCAGGAACTCCTTTAAAAGCTAATTGTAGATCCCTGTGAATGTTCTTTTTCTTAGGGAGGTTGACCACACGTACACGAACTCCATCCTGAACATGTGTAAAGACTGCATAAATCCAGCAGGTTAATATCATATCAGACCCAATCTGGCACGAAAAATTCACGTCGTAGCAGAAGACAAAAGCAAACTCGGACAAAGAGAAGAATTTAACAAAAATACTACAAAATTTCAATTGACAAACAATTCAGCATAATCTTACTCTTAGAACTCAAGGAGCCACATCGTTTTATTGCTATCAAAACATAATCTGATCAATCTATTAAGATAGGTGAAGGCAAGCCAAATGAGCTGTCCCTGAAGATACTTTACCACATATTATCTAAGACTTTGCTATCTCTCACCTCCATCCTTCAAGTTCAATGCAAATACTAGTTTCTATTTAGGATTTGACAACAATGAGGGGTAAGATTTGGATTTAAGTTGGTCAGACTCGAAAATTTTGTTGGTTAGCATATTAAGCCCCTCTTTGACAACCATTAAAACAAAACTCTATTTTTCTCTAACTCATTTTCTATTTTTCTCTAACTCATTTTCAACCCTTTATTGTTACAATAAAATATTCAGCGCGTAAATCAAAAAATTTTCCCCACTTTTTAATTACAACCCACCCCCCCCCCCCCCCCCCCAACCAAAAATAAAAAAATTCCAAAACTCATTTTATTGGTTGTCAAATAGGGATTAAAATAGCAGGATTTTGAATAAACTAAATCATAATTTTAGTTTTCAGTTAAAAATTATCCATTTATATAATCTAATTAGGAGGGAATGACAAAACTTTGTCTCAACTCCAAAATTTCAATTTTAAATTTTCCAATCCAAATCATAAATCCAGGCACAGCCTAAAAGATTTTCGCGGCATTTTAAAGGTTCTACTACTGCCTAGAACCAACCTCAAGATGTGTAGGCTACAACAACAATAACAAGATAAGCTTTATTTCCACCAAGTTTGAGTTTTGACTATATAATCCTTTTTCACCATTTTATTTGATCCAATGCCACATCGAAATGTCCAAAGAACTAAAACATTTACCAGCTAAGTCAAAATATTTTTAGTTTTGGTCCACCTCTCTTACTAGGAACTTCTAACGTATTCTACTAAGATTGCATTATTGGTATGACTCGTGATTTTAACATCTCTATAGCTTGTACATTATTAAAATATTTCCTCTATTCTTAATTATGAGCCAATTCTTCCATTCATCAAACTTTTTTTTTTTTTTTTTTTTTTTTTTTATTTTTAAGCTCTCAATGAACAATTTAGTCACTATAAAATATGTTGTGCATGTGGCTCATATAGAGTAGAACACAGGTCTTGGATCAAATGGACCGATGCCGGTGCGGAGCGGAGCTACGGCATCAGCCTTGCACGGGTTTAATTCACTGTCTGGTTGTTAGGGACGATGAATGGGGTTGGGGTGTGGGGGCAACGCCCCCGCGGTACGGTACAGGGGTATTTTCTGTACGGGCCTTAAAGTCTTATATGGACCCAGGCTAGGGTTAGTATAAATAATATGTTGTAACCTTATTTTTAACAACTGAATAAAGAAATCTCCGCTTCGCTCTCGTGGACGTAGGCACACCGCCGAACTACGTAAAATTCTTGTGTTGATTTTCGTTTTCATCTCTTTAATATTGCGCATAAAATCCAACAACTGGTATCAGGGCTAGGTTCGGATGACGAGTTCTTTGATTGCAAAATTTGATGTGATGAAGTTTGACGGATCTGGGAACTTGGGATTATGGCAGCGAAGGGTGAAAGATTTGTTGACGCAGCAAGGGATGATGAAGGCACTATTTGGGAAGAAACCAGAGGGTACGTCAGATGCCGATTGGGAAGAGCTCGAGGCGCGAGCAGTTGGTACAATTCGGCTTTGTTTGACGGACGAAATCATGTATCACGTCATGGAAGTTGAGTCTCCGGCGCGGAGGTTTGGGAGAAATTGAAGAGTCGTTATATCTCAAAGTCTCTCACGAACAAGTTGCATCTAAAGCAACGGCTGTACGGGCTGAAGATGTTGGAGGGTACGGATCTGATTCAACACACCAATGTGTTCAATCAAATCATCAGCGATCTATTGTGACTTGAAATCAAGTTTGATGATGAAAATAAGGCAATGATTTTGTTGTGCTCACTTCCTACTTCGTACGACCATCTGTTGACCACGTTGATGTGGGGTGAAGAGACTCTCGAATTGGAGGAAGTCACATCAGCCCTGTTAGCCTACGACCAGCGGAAACTGCGTACTGGTGAAACTTCACAGGGTGAAGGGTTGATCGTAAAGGGCTACCAGGATCGTGGGAGAATGAAGGACAGGGGTGTTTCTTTTAGAGGAAACACAAGATCAAAATCTAGGAATCAAAATAAGAAAAACGTCAAGTACTACAAATGCCATTAGATGGGCCACTTTAAGAGAGACTGTCCTAATAAGAAGTAGAGTGATGAGTCCTCAAACTCAGCTAGTGCTGCAGAAGGAGACTCGGATTCTGGAGATGGAGACATGTTATCAGTCTCTACAGGTAATTCTGTAAAATTAAATGACTGTTGGGTACTTGATTCAGCCTGTTCATATCACATATGTTCTCACCGGGATTAATTTCATTCATATCGTTCTGGTAATTTTGAATCTGTTCTAATGGGTAATGATGCATCATGTAAGGTCATTGGAATGGAGTCCATAAAATTTAAAATGTTTGATAGTGTGATAAGGACCTTGGAAAATGTTAGGCATGTACCTGAGTTGAAAAAGAATCTAATTTCTTTAGACACTTTAGACACAAATGGTTACTCTTATAAGTCAGAGTGTGGGGATCTAACAGTGAAGAAAGGGGCTATGATTGTAATGAAGGGTCACAAATTAGTAGGGAATATCTACAAATTACTCAGAGATACAGTTGTAGGTGGAGTTGCTATAGCAGAATTTGAGTAAGATGACACTCTTCAATGACATATGCGACTGGGGCATATTGGAGAACGTGGCATGGTTGAGCTTCACAAGAGGAATTTGTTGAAGGGGGTAAAATCATGCAAGCTGAATTTCTGCAAGTTCTGTGTACTTGAAAACAGTCTAGAGTACAGTTCAAGATGGGAAAGCACAAGAAAGAGGGAATTCTTGATTACGTGCACTCAGATGTTTAGGGACCAGTGAGGGAGTTGTCCAAAGGTGGATATAAGTATTTTATTACTTTCATTGATGACTTCTCTAGAAAAGTCTAGGTATATTTCATGAAGCACAAGTCTGAAGCCTTTGCCAAGTTCAAATTATGGAAAGCAGAAATAGAGAACCAGATGGGGCAGAAAAATTAAGTATCTGAGGACAGATAATGGTACAGAGTATACAGATTTACAGTTTCTGAGATTTTGTGAAAAGCATGGTATTTAGCGGCACTATACAGTTCGCAAGACACAGCAACAGAATGGTATTGCGGAAAGGATGAACAGAATAATTGCAGAACGGGCAAGATGTTTGAGGCAGAATGCAGGGCTCTCGAAAAGTTTTTGGGCAGAAGCAGTGAACATGACATGTTATGTCATAAACAGATCACCACGAGCAGCACTAGATGGGAAAGTTGCAAAGGAAGTTTGGACAGGAAATGAAGTTGATTATTCTGAATTGAGAGTATTTGGTTGTCCGGCGTATGTGCGTGTATCTAGTGATCAGCGATCCAAACTTGATCCGAAATCAAGAAAATGCATTTTTCTTGGCTATGTTAAAGGTGTAAAGGGATACAAGTTTTGGAATCCAGAGGTAAGGAAGATGGTGATAAGTGGGGATGCAGTATTTGATAAAGTATTCATGCTTAAAGCTTCTACAAATAAAGAGAAGCTCAATTCAGACGAGGACAGAGGTAAGAGCCAAGTGGTGCAAGTAGAGCTAGACAATGTAAACATAGAAATTAATGCTCAGGGAGCAGATAGTTCTGGGTCAGAGGTGGAACAGTATCATAGTGTTGCCTTAGATAGACCACGTCGCACGACCAAGCCACCAGCAAAGTATGGATTTGAGGATTCGGTTTCTTATGCACTCATTACCAGCAATAGCGATCCTATAACTTTTCAGGATGCCATTGGTAGTCAGGAGGAAGGTAAATGGATGGAGGCTATGACGGAGGAAATTGAGTCACTGCATAAAAATGATACTTGGGATTTGGTGGAGCTTCCAGAGGGGAAGAAACAGATAGGGTGTAAGTGGGTGTATAGAAAGAAAGAACAATGTCAGAAAAGGAAGGAGAAAGATACAAGGCTCGATTAGTAGCAACGGGACACTCACAGAGGAAGGGAGTAGATTATGATGAAATTTTCTCTCCGGTTGTCAGACACACTTCCATCAGGATTGTTTTGGCAATGGTGGCTAATTTCGATTTGGAGTTAGAGCAGCTAGATGTGAAGACTGCTTTCCTTCATGGTGATTTGGAGGAACAGATTTTCATGGAGCAATCAGAAGGATTTTTGGAACCAGGAACAGAAAATCTTGTGTGTAAACTGGAGAAGTCTTTATACGGACTTAAGCAGTCTTCACGGTAATGGTACAAGAAGTTCGACTCTCATATGATTCAGATTGGCTACAGTCGTTGTGAGTATGATTGTTGCGTTTACTACAGAGTTCTTGAGGATAACTCATATATTTTCTTGATATTGTATGTGGACGACATGTTAATTGCTGCGAATAACATGGATGAGGTAGACAAATTGAAATCTTTATTGAGCAGTAAGTTTGATATGAAAGACTTGGGACCGGCTAAGAAAATTCTTGGCATGGAGATCAACAGAGATAGGAAAGCCAGAAAATTATGGGTGTCTCAGAAAAATTATTTGAAGAAAGTGTTAGAGAGGTTTAGCATGTCAAATGCAAAATCAGTTGCCACACCACTTGCAAATCACTTCAGACTGTCTAATAATCAGTGCCCAAAGAGTGAAGAAGATGTTGCAGAGATGTCAAAGGTACCCTATGCCAGCGCATTTTAATGTTTGATGTATGCAATGGTGTGTGCCAGAACAGATTTAGCACATGCAGTCAGTGTGGTTAGTAAGTATATGGCTAATCCTGGTAGAGAGCATTGGAGAGCTGTAAAGTGAATTTTCAAGTACTTGAAAGGTACAATGAAGTGCGGGATCATGTCTTAGAGACAACATGGTGATATTTCAGTTCAAAGATATGTAGATGCAGATTATGCAGAGGACTTGGATGACAGAAGGTCCCATACAGGTTATGTTTTCACACTCGCAGGTGGGCCCATATGTTGGAGGTCAATGGTGCAATCACTTGTGGCATTATCTACGACTGAAGCAGAATACATGGCGGCAACTGAGGCATCCAAGGAATTATTGTGGTTGAAATGATTTGTCAGGGAACTTGGGATCAAGCAAGATGGAATGAAACTGTACTGTGATAGTTAAAGCGCCATCTTCCTAGCTAAGAATCAAATTTATCATGCAAGAACCAAGCACATTGATGTGAAATTTCATAAGATAAGAGAGTTGGTAACTTCAGGAGAGCTGTTGTTAGAGAAGGTGCATACCTCAAAGAATGCAGCAAACATGATGACAAAGCCGATCACAATGGATAGGTTCAAGCATTGCTTGAACTTGATTAACATCTCTATCTGTTAGAGAGAATGTGTCCCAACCCATTGGTCCTAGATAGTGTATTTTTTTCCAGGTTATGTTTTTTCTCCTAAGGGGTGAATATTCGCTAAGGTGGAGATTGTTGTGCATATGACTCATATAGAGTGGAACACAGGTCCTGGATCAAATGGGCCGATGCCGGCGCAGAGCGGAGTAGAGTCAGAGGAGCGGAGCGACGACATCGGCCTTGCACAGATTTAATTCACTATTTGATTGTTAGGGACGCTGAATGGGTTGGGGGTGCGGGGGCAACGCCCTCGCGGTATGGTACGGGGGTATTTTCTATACAGGCCTTAAAATCTTATATGGCTCAGGCTAGGGTTAGTATAAATAATATGTTGTAACCCTATTTTTAACAACTGAATAAAGAAATCTCCGCTTAGCTCTTGTGGACGTAGGCACATGCCGAACCACATAAAATTCTTGTGTTGATTTTCATTTTCATCTCTTTAATATTGCGCATAAAATCCAACAAAATATCTCTATCACCTGGACAATTTCACTTCAGTAGGCGATCATACTAATTGCTCTCATCATTTTCATCCAAATAATCATACTTGTACTTAAGTAGTTATATAATAATTTACATATAGATGATGTATCTAAAAGAGAAATTTCTCTCTTTTTTTTTTTTTTTAATTTGATTGAAGGAATTTTAACCCAATCATAACTTACCACATCATGAGTATGTAAATTATTATGTAAACCTATTATGTACATATAGCACAATCGTTTTCATCCGCTTTATAACCTCCATCGCCTATGAAACCTTTATCCTTTTGGTAGAGTACACATTATATTCAATAGAGTTTGACATATCCCCTATATCCATTCCATACCTTTCTTAAAATAGTTTGTCATGCGATTTCATCACCATGAAGCAAAATGCTCTTATTTTCAACTTTAATACACTTGATTGGGTTTCGATATCAATTCATCATTTCACATATCTTGGAAACAATCTTCTTTCCAAACCTAGATTCAAGATAACTAAACAGCTTCTATAAGCTTATGCTCATCCTCACAGCTTCTTTAATCACATCAATAACTGATAGCTTTTTTCGGAGTGTGATTAATAGAATTTAATTAATACCGATGTCTGATAAATCAACATAAAAGTTTACACATTTATAGTATCAAATAGTAAACAATAGAACGCCTTCTCAATCTATTTGGTCAGAGAACTCTCACAACAGTTATAACAACATAGAAATTCAAAAGGAAAACCTCTTCTTTCTTTCAGTTTTCACATCCTTGACACATTAAAACAAACAAAGTATGGGATCACCTATTGTTTGAAACACAAACCAAATGTATTGGGGAAGTCATTGTCGGCTCTAACTATAGGCAAGGTAGACGATCGCCTAAGGCACCACTTCGGTGAGGGCCCAAAAAAATTATTATTATTATTTTTTATTTTACATGTATTTTTACGTATGTATAGGTTCCCTTACTCGAAATTAGTCTAAGGCCCCCAAAATCTAAAGGCCGGCCTTGGGGGAAGTTGTGTGTTTACTTGGTCATCCTCTGGTTAACTCGTTTTACATAGGTCACTCCAACAATTCCAGTCCCATGTGGCTATTATATTCTATCGGTTATGAGGTGAATGAGCTAAATTGTTAGCCAAGAGAGGGTGAAAACGTCAGCTGAGAACTCACCACAAATTTTAAAGCACTATTGTGAGACAGAACTTTATGAGAAACAGCCATGCTTCCTTCATATATGTGCTAGCGTCAATTTCGATAACTTCTACACGATTGGATACTTCCACCAATATCCCCAAGTGGGGAAGCAACAATAAGTCAACAAATAAATTTTATTCCTCTACGTGTACAATAATGAAATAATGGAATAATACATTTTCAAAAACATTTCATCAACTAGTAATAAGATACAAATATGCTGAAAATGTCTGTTTTATAGATCAAAATATCTCAACCAGCTGTGGTAAACATCCTAACAAATTTACAGCACTTGCCGCAGTCAATAGCTAACAAATTAAAGCACAGTATATAGTGAATGGAAGAAATTGTCCAATGTTATCACTTTTGCAAGGCCATAATAGCATAAAACTCATTCTATCCTAAGACATCAAGAACATTATACATGATAAAGAGTGTGTAACAATTTGTAAAACGAGATTTCGGTCAATTTACAAAGAGCAGAATTTAAGTACAAACATGTTCGTGACCCAATTTAAGTCATTAGGGAGTTCAATAATATCACTATCTTCACCATGAGCTCCATATCATATATACTGCTCTTTGTAAATTGACTGAAACTTTAAATGTATAAACTTTAAATACAGAAACTTAATTTTCCAAAATAAGAGCATGAATCTACTTATAAAACATCATATAAAAGTTACGGTTGCTTGGAAGTATATTACAATGCTCATTGTCCAATGTCAAGGCATAAAATAGCTCAAATGCCATAGCCCTAATTTATATATATTGAACTGGTAGGAAAGAGGAATGCGCATGAAAGATACATTTTTTTCATTTAAGTCCGACTTGTACACAATTTTCATAATCAGGTAGAGACCACTTCGGGGATATTAAATTGAACTAGCTCGTCTAAAAGTTAATCACGGACTTGTGTATTAAAATCATGTTTTGAATAATAAAATGCAATTCCAAAAATAAATAAATAAATAATCAAATGAATAAATGAATACCTTTCTCATGCTGGTTTTGTTCTTTCTTGGAAGTGAATTGTTGAGGATTATTCTTGAGCCTGTTGATATTGGCAAGCTGAGCTTTCCTACTCTGCTCAAGTTCTTCCATCAGCTTATCCTCAATTGAAGTATCATACACTTTGCCTTCACCAAATCCCCGTGGCTTGTTCTCAAGCCATTTTTTCATTTCCTTTAAAGGAATATCCCCCTCATCATCTTCTTCAAAATCACCATCAGTTCCTGTATCTATAAATTCATCTTCAAAATCATTCGCAAATTCATCTGGACCGTCCACTTTCAACCCAATAAAATCACCTCTTTTCTTGGTTTTTAACGCATGTAAGCAAAACCCAGTTGGCATTTTACCAAAGGAATAGAAATTGGGAGAAAATGTGAAGCGGGTTTTGATGGGAAAGTGAAAATTTTGTGAGGGAATAGTGTTGCAAACGGATTTCAATGGAAATTTCCCAAGGCTCAGCATATTATGGAAATAAATAAACAATTTTATTTTGTTGAATGGTGAGATTTGTATTGTATAACTGGTTTTAATTTATGGGAAAAAATTGAATTCTCGGAGTAGATAGGGTAAGGATTAGAAAGATTATTGAAGGCAAAGGAATAAGATACCGCAGTGGGTGGGGGAAGAAAAATGGAACAAGGACGTCATTTACAGAGCGCTTATGTCTGTTTGGTAGACATTTTTTTTTAAATGTATTTTTCTTTTTTTTTTTTCAATCATGCATTCTTAATTAAAATAATATTACATGTAAATAAATTTTTTTTTATTTTTCAATCACACATTTCACATCAATTTACTATTCTAAAATACATTTTTACATAAAAATGTCTATCAAATTACTCATAAATTTTAAGTACTCAAAGATTAAAACGCCCTCGTTATCCATTATTTACAAAAATGCATTTTTCTCTATTTATTTTTAACCGCACAATATTCAATAAAATATTATTATACGCAAACTCAATAGTTTTTCCTTACTTTTTAACTACACATTCTTCATCAAATTACTATTACAAAATACATTTTTGTCAAAAAAAAATTGAGCTCAAACATGTCTGGTTTAAATTATTAAATTAAATTATAGATAAAAAGACTTGGTATCCTTAACAAAATTTCTCGTAGAAACTCAATTCAAATTTAAAACAAATCAATGGCTCTTCATTTTTCATCAGAATCTTGCCTCTAACACTAAAGCCTCAGTAATTTCTATGGAAAAAGCTACTTGTACAATGGTTCTTTACAATAGTGGCTTACAATGTGAGCTAGAAAGGGAGAAAAACCAAAAAAATTAAAAAATTAAAAAACGAAAAAGCAACAAAGACAGGACCACAATAATTGACTTTGATACAGGAACTTAAAAAAGGGCGACAAAATGGAAAAGCTCTCTTCATACACCCCATTGAGAAGGACGACCACGACTGACATTGCGCGAAAAAGCTCTCCTCCCCCAACAAATCTGTACGACTTCGTCGGAAACTAACCTTCCCAGCGACGGCATCCGACGTACCTTCGGCATTTACAAAACCACCCAAAATTTCTAGTCGACATTGCACTACACCGTCGGAGACTCACCTTCCGACGACGGCGTACCCACCTTTTACAGATGCATACCAACATTTTCCCCAACAATACAACCAATTTAGTAGAAGAAGGCGGCAGCTGCAAATGACGTTTGGAGACTGGCGTAAGACACAATAATTAACAGAAGAACTGAACATTGTTTGGAGACTACCATTTCATCTACCCAACATTGTATCTCTTATTCAACAACCACCGGTAATAAGAAAAAATCTAGAGTATGTGAACATATTTGTCATTAACTTGGATATTATCATTTGCTAATGTTAAATCACTTGCAATAATCCTGAATCCCTTATTTTATCTATGTTAAATCCCTTGCAGTAACGTTAAACCCTCATTTTATCAATGTTAAATCTCGAATGCATTAATTTGTAAACAAATGTTATCTTATCATCCATGAACATTAAAAAATAAGAAAAATGAAATATTGATTATTATTAAATTTTTTGATGCAAAAATGAAAGTATACTTACAACTTTGAGTATACTTAACCATTTATAATCTGCTGTTATTTAAAACTCCGAGGTTATTATTTTTTGAATGGGACATATCATTTTGACCCAGTCTGTGAAATTATGGAAGCAATGGAAGATGTCACAAGATTGGAATCGGAAAATGCGAATGTGGAAGACAATTATTGTGAAGATATTTGTCATGAAATTCGATATTATCAATTGCTAATGTTAAATCCCTTGCATTCCCGATGAAAACCGTAGATAATGTTGGCATGAAGATGGAAAAAAACGTACTTGCTAATGTTGAATCTCGACCGAATTAATGTGTAGCCAAGGGTTTTCATACTATCCACCAATGGCACCTTAAAGTTGGAAAAACCGAAAATTATTTATTATTACATTTTTTAATGCAATAATGAAAGTGTACATGTTTTCATAATCTGCATTTTTGGAACAACTTTGGGGTTATTGGTTTTTGAAAGGAAAATTTAATTTTGACACAGGCTGTGAAATTATGGAAGAAGTGGAAGATGATGTCAAAGTAGAATTGGAGCATGTGAATGTGGAAGACAATATGAGCATATGTGTGGATGAAACGAGAGGAGGAGATGGTGTGATTGTGCCTGAGGTGGGTATGAAATTCAAGGACGAAAATGAAGTTTACGAGTTCTATAAGAGATATGCATATGAGGTTGGTTTCCCAGTCAGGAAAAGGAATTCGAAGAAAGATGACGATGGAGTTTTGCAATATGTGACATTGACATGTAGTCGTGAAAGATGACGAAGCGGTTCTATGAGCGGCTCTTTGAAGCTGCAACCAACAATGCAGACAGGTTGTAAAGCCAGGATCTCTGCAGCTTTTGATTATCATGGTTTCTGAGTAATCAAAACAGTACACCTCGATCACAACCATAAGACAAGTCCTTCGAAGTCAAGGTTGTATGGATGCAACCGAAAAATAAGTGCACATGTGAAAAGAAAGATTGAAGTGAATGGCCTGGCAGGGATTTCGTTGCACAAAAGTTTCAACTCTGCAGTTGTTGAAGCAGGAGGTTATGAGAATCTTACTTGTGTGGAAAAGGACTGTAGGAACTATATCGAAAAAGTGAGGCGGTTAAAACTTAAGGAGGGAGATGCCGCAGCAATATAGTCTTACTTTTCAGAAATGCAAGCAGGGTGCTCGAGATTTTACTTCAGTATTGATCTGGACGAAGATTCAAGGTTGAAAAACGTTTTTTGGGCAGACAATCGGTGTCGTCAAGTATATAAAGAGTTCGGGGACGTTGTCACGTTCGATACAATGTACCTCACTAATAAATATGACATGCCATTTGCCTCATTTGTTGGCTTAAATCACCACGGACAATCAACGCTTTTTGGTTGTGGTTTGTTATCAAATGAGAACACAAATACTTTTGTTTGGCTATTTAGGATATGGCTTAAGTGCATGCACAATCAAGCGCCACATGGAATAATAACCGATCAAGATAGGGTCATGCAAAATGCAATACAAATAGTTTTCCCTGATACGAAGCACAGATGATGTTTATGGCACATTTTAAAGAAATTTCCAGAGAAGTTTGGTTACCATGTGGACAAGGGATCGATATTTTTGGCTATACACGTATTGGTGTATGATTCGCAGAACGTCGAAGAATTTGAGGCCGATTGGAAAATAATGATAGATAAATATGAGTTGCAAGATAGTAAATGGTTGTCAAGTCTTCATGAAAATAGAGGTCGATGGGTTCCTTGCTTTCTAAAAACATCATTCTAGGCCGAAATGTCAACGACAAACGATCTTAGAGTATGAATGCCCTTTTCGATGGATATGTGCACTCAAAAACATCGCTGAAGCAATTTGTGGAACAGTATGAACGTGCACTACGGAACAAGGTGGGAAGGAGTTCCAAGCTGATTTCAAGTCATTTTTGCAAATAGTTTCGTGTGCAACGACGTATGAAATTGAGCAACAATTTCAGGCAGTATATAGAATTTCAAAATTCAGGGAAGTGCAAACAGAGCTCACATGGAAGCTATATTGTGACATCATATCTATCACGAATGTTTGTTTGGGGATGACCTACGAGGTATGCGACGATGTGCTATGCGGGGATAGTGTTATTTAATAGAGAGAATTGTGACATTGTCTGCACCTATCACTTGTTTGAGTTTCGGGAAATTATTTGTAGGCATGCAATCGCGGTAATCATCCGTAATGACGTTCGTATACTCCATGCAATCGCGGTACTCATCCGTAATGACGTTCGTATACTCCAAGATAGGTATGTATTTCGAAGATGGAGGAGTGATGTTAGTAGAGCACACACCAGGGTCACTGTTAACTATAGTGGGTTGGTCACCACTCCCAGACAGTTGGGTTATGATAGAATGTGTTAGGCTTTCGCTACCATTGCAGATCTAGCCGCAGAAGATGAAGGTCGGACCCATGCGATAATGGAATGGATAGGAGTTCAAGAGAAGAAACTTATGAGTTCGAGGTCGATCAGCGGAAGCAATGTTCTACTGCAACGTACTACTCAAGTGTCATCGAACAACATAGGTTCGCAAAAAAATGTAAGTTGCACATTATTGGACCCTAACACAGTGAACAAGAGGGGTGCACCTAAAAGACTTCGGAGAAAGGGCCCATTAGAGCCGACGTTAAAGAAGCCAACGGTAAGTTCACGTGTTACCTTCCCAAGTGAAATGGATTCCTAACATTATATCTCATTATTTCAACTGTACATGCATGCTCCATCGAAAGGCAAAAGACCAACTGCAAGGCGTACTTGTCCACCAGATGGTACATCGTCCATTCAAGCTCATCAACAACAAGAATCGTCGATGCCCATTCCGTTCTCCTACTTGCAGCTCTTGTTGGTTAGTAACTTTAATTTATCTCGTTTGTATATTTGTTGTGTCATTTGCGCTTTCTTATTTTGATGTAGGGTGACCATGAAAGCCAAATGTTTCCACAACAATTACCGACTTCTACGCCGATCCATCCGTCGTCGACCCATCCAACATTCAATTCTCAAGGTACGCATTTATATTAAACCAAGTTCCTTTTTCTAATCCATAATTTGTGTGCATAGATTAATGTCATCTTTTATAGTAGGTCATGCACATCATTATTACTATCCAGAGGAATGGCATCAAGGTGGCAATGAGTTTTGATCCAGTTTAATGCATTTACCAGTTGAATATAATCCCTAGAGCAGTGAAGAGTAAGAAGAAAATTCCCCCAATTACATAATCCAATTACATAATTCAATATCGACGAAAGAGAATGATTTTCAACTTCAGATCTTCAGCACAATAGGTAGGTACAATCACTGAACACTGATTAGTGACCCCAACAGTGACTTTCCTCCTTAGCCACTCATTTGCTTTACAAGTAGCTAATAAATGACCACTTACGGAAGTTTGGTAGTATGCTAGAGTGTATATATATTGTATTCTCATTTTGTTGATTTAGCTGATTTTTTGTTGGTTGTGCAACAATGAAGCTACTTCCTCCAGGAGGAATCGCAGTCTCGCAGAGGAGCTCACTACAGGGACTGTGGCATCTGTCTTCTTACAATAATGCCAA